CACACACACACACACACACACACACACACACACACACACACACACACACGGTCGGAACATGGAGGATCCTTTATGGGGGACGAGAGAGATCCCATTAAATGTTCAAAACACTGGTCGGGTTGGGGCAAGAAAGAGGAGAAAAAAAAGGTGAGGGGGAGCTGTTAAGAATTAACTAGACTGTTCAGGGGCAGTTAGTGGGCGAGCTAAACTCCAATTACACCCCAGCCTGATTTAAAACCGCCTAACCTTCGTAAAATTACACCCGCACACATTAAGAGGCGTCTGGGTTTGCTTTGCCGACATCACTGCGCCGTTGTTATTGTATTTTCTGGATAAATAAGCAAGCTGGGTTTGGTCTTCGGAGACATCACGCACCACTTAAACTGGGTAAAAAGTTCTTAAAGAGATCCCCACCCCCACTCAAGTCTCCTGGTTTGTCTTTTGCAATGTAATGACAGTCAACGTGCTGTTGGGCAATGCTGGAAATGAGGCTGCAACAAGTGATTGTGTTTTATTATTAATACATCTGAAGATTATTATTTTTGGATAAACAGATTATTTATATTTGTATATATAAAATGTCCAAGGTGATATTTTCCAATTATTTGTATTATGCGTCCAACAGTCCAAACCCAAAGACTAAAAGACAAAAGGCAACACACGAAACCAGAGAATGTTTGGTATCTCTGATAAATAAACCTAACTTTTATTCTGATATGTGATTTTAGGGATAAGAGAGAAAATAAATATTTCTGTTTTGTTATGGTATTTTGGACATACAGGTTCAGACAGTGCTTTTGTTCCATGCGCACAGTCCACGGTGTCATGACTTTAAGGCCCTCATATACTCCAAGAGTGAAATTTGTTCATACACTTTACTGGGTGTCATCATAGGCGGGTGTGTGCAAAAGTCTAAATCGATTTGGGCATGGGTTAAAGAGGTTATCATCATAGTTTATAGAGTCCAAGTGACTCCAAATGTCTTGTTTTGCCCGACCAACCGAATACCAAACGATTTTCAATTTACTATGATGTAAAAGAGAGAGAAGCAGCAAATGCTCACATTGAAAGCAGACAATGTTTTGCTCGATACATGACTTGAACAATTAACAGATTTTCTAAATTATCGATTAACTTCTGATCGACTAATTGTCAAAACTGTCTCTGCGCTAGCTAACGAAAAACATAATAATGTGCAGCTGACAAAGAGGAATCTTCTACTTCCTGTTGAGTTCAGGTGGTGGTGGGATGGATTAAGTGGGAGGTGATGATGAAAGCGGAGGCTCCCCCCCCAACTTTCATCTTATCATCAGGGGTCATGACCTCGGGTCAGGTCTGGATGGAGACAGTGGAGGCTGACAGACCCGCCCCCTCGCTGTCTTCTCTCTTTAGAGATAAGACCTCAGGAGTCCTCGCGCAGAGTGCGTCAAGCGAAAAGAGGACAGTCGGCAGTGAAAGCAGATGATTAATGACACATCGGCTCACATGCAGAGCGCATTAAACACATGCGCAAACACACAAATACAGGCAAACTCAACAGTGTCAAGACTGTGAGCAGGCGTAATATTTCAGTGTTCACTAATATTATGTGTGCGCCTCGCTTCCTGTATGAGCAACCCCCAACCTGCCACTGCCCCAAAAAAACAGCCCTCTCTAAATCTCTGAAGACCTCTCCACCTCTCCGGCCTGCTCCTGCAAAAACAACATTTGTGCAGAGGCTCTGGCATGTTATTCTAACAAATATATTGTATTAATTATGCGCCGTTACCCGAGCCTCCCCCTGAGAGGCTTCAAAAGGCCCGTCAGAGATGCTTCTGACCGTGTCACATGACCTCGCGGATGAGACGACGCACCGATCGCACGCTCTGGAGCTTTCAGGAAGTCACCGCTCTAATGGGCACCAGAGACTCTTTCGAGGCCTGGGTGCTGTGTAAAAGCTGCACCTGCACATACGCCTCAGTTATAACAGATTAAAGGCTCCACCGGCGGCTCGGGATGGATGAGCAATTCTCGTGTTGGTCGTAAACACACAATGAGCCGGTACAAACACATCCACAGGAACAAGCACAGATAGTCGTGAACAAACAATCAGTACGCAGTCAGATCGATTACCGAGCAGTGAGGAGACCTTGGAAAGGAGTCCTGTCTGGACCATCTGGCTGCGCAGCGACGTGTCGAAGGATAGGTTGAGCAGGAGGCGCAAGCTGGTGCTCAGGAGGTACTCGTGATCGCAGGGAACCAGCCGAGCCAGCTTCTCCACGGCAAATGTTTCAGCCTGCAGACAACAGACAAAAAAAACCTAACTTACAGGTTCTGCTCCAGAAGCACACGGACATCTGTAATATTACAAAACAATCCAGCTCTACAACATAACCTTACTGTACATAGTGCCATGTGGTACAAGGTGGTAGTATTCTGCATAATGACTACTTTTGCTTTTGACAACTCAGTAAGTTTAGCTGATTATACTTTTGTACTTTTACTTCAGTAGACTTTGAATGTAGTTTGAGTATTTTTGAATTCTTCTTTAGGTGAAGGAGTGAAGTACTTCTTCCAACACTTGCTGTATATATGTACAACACAGGTGTCATGTGATTCACGGTATATTTGATTATAATTCATGGCAACTAATTTCATTTTTCCAATTTTAGATTAAATGATCATCAAGATAATGTAAAGTAATGGGATACTTTTGTCAGAAGTTAATATATAATTATGTTTAATTTATTTTCTACTGGAACGTGCAGCCTTAAAAGAGACATCAGCAGAATAAAATTCATGAAATGATCACACAAAATGGAATGATTACTTTCCTTACTGCCTTACATTATCTGTTAATGTCAGTTTATCAGTATCAGTCAGTTTACACTCTACCATGCGACCACTTTGAAAAACACTCCTGAATGTAAATACAGGGATTTGTCATAATTATTATAAATGATAACTCTGAATCATCTCTGATATGATAGTTACTAAACATCTTCATAAAACACTGACATCTTGCCTTTTCCCTTTGTTAAGCCTGGTGTCCAGCTTGGAGAAGGTTCACATGACCTACAGGCAGGTGGAAGTGTTGAGCTGATGACTCTGAACACAAACTCATGCCTGCCGACTCTTTAGGGGATCGTTGATGTGTGAAAATGTGACCAGCATGGTAGCGTTTGGACTACATGTCGCCACTGTGAGTGTCAGTGTGACAGAGCGGCACTCGTCAGTCCGGTGCTGCCTGTTAACATGTCTGTCTGTCTGTCTGTCTGTCTCCCCCCCCCCCCTCTCTCCTGTGGTCTCCCCGCAGCCAGATATCACGGTGACGCAACCTGCTCCCAGTTAAAAAACGCACCCACTGCTACTGTGTGCGAAACCAGCTCCAGTCGCACCATCACAAACCAGACCACGAGCAGCATAATCAAGTGCAGCCCGTGTCAATTACCACTGACATTCCCCTTTCATTAGTGACGGGAACAAAATATCAGACTGCGTTGAAGTCTTATCTGATTTGGAGAAAAATATGTTTGCTGAGTAAATAAAACCTAAAGACACACAGCATCATTAAGTGATTAAGTCTTTCTTTTTTTTTTAATCAATTAAACATCCATGTCCTTAAATGGAATCCCTTTTCCCTTGTGTAAACTGATATACTCAACCCAGTCAAAGTGTTGAAACCACTATTTTCCTGCTGGACACATGCTTGAGTGGGTCTAAACCCCCCGAAGGCTTCTTTAATCTGAATCAAAGATACACCGAAGGGGAAACGAGGAGATAAAACCAGTTCCTAACTGGGTCTGGCTTTGATAAAGAACCACAAACTGAGTGAGATTGGAACCAGGTGGGGCTGGATTAGGGGAAAGTCGGCGCCTGTACAAGCGCTGTGGGACACGTGGCCAAAAGCGGACCTTCTAAGCATTTATTAAATTGAAATTTGATAAGCGTGGTTTCAACTGGCATTTCTACAGCGGAACAGCCATTTGTCAACATGACTTTGGGAGTGTTTTACAGAACAAATGAAGAGTGATTGTTTCCTTTTAAGTTTCACTAGTGTAGTTTAAATATCTCAAAACAACCTTGTTAAAGAGCACATTCATTAGAGATGTGAAGGTCTAATTTAGGAGATTGACTGTACTAGTCAGAAAAAAACTCAAAACAACACAGACGCCATGGTCTTTAAACAATGAATAGTTTGGCGGATGTGCTTTAGCAAACACTTAATTAAATCCAAATTTTGTTGATGCAAGAGTGGTTTTATGTAACACTTAATTGCGGGAATATTTTTTCATTTTCCTTAACAAATCCATGATTAATGTCCTACTTGCCTTTTCTCAAATTCAGAGAAAAAGCGCAAGCGGCTGCAAGCTTTAATAGTTTCTTTGTAAAACTTTCCACCTTAACTGTCCGCACCATTCATGAGCTTAAGTGTTAATTTGTGATATTGGGCTGTATAAAGGGTTCTAAACTTTTTGCAAGGCACTGTGTATATCAGCGCTTCAGTTAAGATGCAAGGAAAAAGGAGGAGAGTGTTGTAACTTTCACTCCACCCCTCCTCTGTCTCACCATGTCATTCTTGTTCTCCAGGAAGATGGAGAGCTTCTTGAGGAAGGACACCACCACCAGCAGCAGCTCCTCGTCTTCCCGGTCCAGGATCTTCACCAGCGTGTGGACGATGTTTTTGTTCCTCATCTTCAGCTCAGTGCGGGTGTCTTCAGCCAGGTTCAGCAGCAGGCACAGAGCAACTACGGGGTCAAACGTGTCAGAGACATAAAGATCAGCCTGGCAAACACAAGTTGTTTCTAGAACAGAAGTCATTTAGCTGTAACGCACTCCCTTACTGTTGTTTTGGATTTTGGAAGTCATTTCTGATTTATTGTAGCTTTTCTTGTGCCTCTTGGGGCATAATCTGTCAATTAACTTAATGAAGAATCAATTACTTGTTTAGTGTATAAAAACCGACAGAGCAGAGTCCAAATTCAGTCTGAACAATGATCCAAACCTCAAAGACATTCAGATTCAAATGATTAAGACAGAGAAAAGCAGCAAACCCTCTCATTGGAGACCCAGAACTTCCCCAATAACTGCTTAGCAAATGACAAAAAAATCTATTTGTTCATTATATCAACAGTATTTCTGATACAATCCTGCTGGTTTCATATGTTGCGCTTAACTATTTTAATTTGGAAGTACTTACATTTTGTTAGAAAAGTGCTGTATAACTAAATCACATATAATGTATTCATTGCAGCTATAAGACGCTAACTTAGACTTTCGTATCAGCGACACCGACACTTAAATGTCTGTCTAATTACATTTCACACACAGTATTCTAGATGTCATACGCATGACTTTGTCCAAACATTCCCAAAATTCAGCCAAAACACATTTGATGACTCTGGAAACTTTTGTCGATAGCCCAACCGGCAGCACTGAGTGGCTGCAGAGGTTAAAGGTTAAGTGAGCAGACTGGTGTTTGGCCAATTCAATTAGCCGGGCTTAGAAGAGGACTACACTGACCCCTCACGACTCCAGTATCTACAACAGCCTGCTGGTGGACACTGCAGGTCAGATAAGCTTGACATCATCAGGGGGTACAAAGTTCCCACAGTTACCTCTGAGAAGCTGCTCCTGCTTGGTCAGAAGGCTCTGGTACTTTCTGAAAGACTTCTCGTGTTCCTTCTTCAGATTTTGGTTCTCAGAGAATTCTTCATGTGAGATCAGTCAAGCAAATCAAATTTACACAGAAAACATTAAAACTATACCATAATAACCCAGCTACTGGAAGTATTAGGTTACATACAAGAAAACGTTCTTTCCATACAGACATCATCTATTCTATTAAGTAGAAACTGGCTTTTAGAGGAAAGATCTTTCAGTTGCACAACTCTTAGAAAAGGATATAGGCCTTCTTCTTCTTCTGTAGTTCGTCTTGCCAGAGGTCGAACCTCTTCAGCTCATGCTCAATGATATTCATACAAAGGGCCCCAATCTTGAAATGTGTGACCAGGCCATGGAACTGGGAGAAACTAGACGAGGAAATGAAGAGGCAACGAGAGAGAGAAAAAGAAAGAAAAAGACTTCCATTTATCCAAAAGTGTATTTTCAAAACGGAATTGGGGATTCCAGCTGGGAGCTGTCATTAAAATGACCCAATCCGTCACCGCTGAAGTAGTTTACAAAGTAAACTGTCAAAGTCAAAACACATTCAGTCAAACAGTATGTCCTGGGTCCGACTTATAATCAGTCCAACTTGAACCGTTTCACAATCCAAACAGCATAACATGGAGATGGACACGAGCCAAGAGCGACGATCAGTTTTCAGACGTACACGTCCTCTCGCTGCCTAAATCAGCTCTGACAGACGTTTATGTATTATTCTAGCGAGGGCTAATTTTAGGGTTTCCTAACCCCCAGTTGGAGAGTGAAACTTCAGTACTAGCTACGCTGCCAAAGGTGGAGGACTACTGTAAGTAAGGGGGAGAGCAGTGAAAAAAGAAGAGAGCAGACTCAGGCGCTGTTACAACTTAAATTTAGAAATAGTGCACAGAAGGAAGGCAACCATACGGCTGGTAAAATGTTATGACTGCCTTAATCTGGTAAACTGGGTTTGTGCTCCAAATGCAAAAGACCATATTACCTTAATGCAATATCGATATCAAGGCATGTGGTCAAAAATATTGAGATATTTGATTATTCCATCCTAGTCCAGCCCTAGTTTAGTTAATCACAACAAATTAAAAAGGCACGGATGTAGTCCAAAACCAGTATGTGGACTACATTGGATGTCTGTATTCACGGAAGGATACACATGCTTGTCAGTACAGGCGCTCCATGCGACTCTACATTTTTAGGCTGCATGTAGACGGTCCTTGCAGGCATGGGCACATGAGGACATTTACACCATATGCAGCCATAAAGAAGTGGAGACTATAAAATAAAGTTTAAAAATACAAATTTGGAATGAAGGGATAGTCAGATACTTGTGGCCCTCTGCATGTGTTTGACGTGCCGGTTTACCTGGAGAAGCAGAAGAAGACAGAGACGATGGTTGTTGCCAGGTCCACACTTTGCTTCCAGTCCTCCCTCAAAACTCTGGCCAGGGCTCCAAGGGCCGCCTCTAACCACAGACACACAAACACACGTCAATAAAGACATACAAACACACAAAGGCCCTTATACAAAAAGAAAGTCATACAAAGAGAAGGCGAGACAAGAATGAAGGACCACAGATGTCAAAAGAAAAACTAAATGCAAAGCGCCTGCGTGTGGAATTCAATCAGTCAGACCGAACACTGCAGCCGGAGGTTGATTTAAAGAAGCGTGGGGGAATGCGATGAGGTCGGAGGCTCCCAAGGATTGTGTGCTACGGGGGCTTCTCAGCGCAAAGACGTGCGTCCCAGGGTCCGTCTCCTCTTTCCACGTCGACCCCAGGCCTCTCGGTTCACACGAACACTCGGGTCTTATCAACATCGGACCGGTTGATGCGGCGCGGCAGACGGAGTGAGCCGACGACGCATTATGACAGATACAAATGAAGCCGTGGCATCTCGCCGCGGCTGCAGAGGATGATGGCTCCGTGCTGTTGCGGAAGAAACAGCACGGTTGTCACGGAAGGGAGCAGAACTGAAGCCGAGGTTTGTTTTCTTTGAAAAGGGGAGCCGAGAGGACGAGCTGTTGAAAGTCAACGGATTCTACACTCAAGCGATATTTTCATTATCAAAACTCCCGTTTCTTCCAAATCTGGCTTTTTGCTTGACAATCTGAAATATGAGTGAGGTTTGCACTTTTCAACTTTGGCAACTGGCTTCACTTTGCCAGGAAAAAGATTATTTACAGAAAATTAATACACTCTGAATAATTGAGGATGAAAAGGACCTTGACCTTGATCCTGGTCTTCCTCTGCAGATGGAGTTTGCTCGGTTATCACAGAGATATTATTATATCGCCATATCATGACAGGCGTTACCATCTTCCCTCCGTATACGACCACCTGAGCAAACGCCATCTGTCGAGGAAGACCGTGAGATGCTGTTGAAGGCTCAAAAAAAAAAAAAAAAGGCAGGGTAGAGTAGAGGCAAAAGATATCTACACCTACAGTTAGTGAAGGGACGAACATGGACAGCAGACATGGTTCTGTTTGTTTTACAGTGTGTGTCTGCAGAGGCAAACATGTTGCGGACACAGGCAGATATCACATGGACCCTTGTGAACGTCGATCTGCAAACTATAAACTGTGCTTAGCTAATCTTTCACTCATTAGTAACTGAAATGTGAATGAATCTATTGATTTAGTCTTTAGTCACGTTATCACGAGGCATTTTTTATTTATTTAGCGCTCTCTTGATAACTTTCGATAATTCGATAACTTTGGTACCGACACTGAAATATACTTGTTTGCTGCCTAATGTTTAGCCAATTCGGCAAAATTTTGATTTAGGTCTTGAATTATGCGATCCAAGAAAGAAAACAGAACTATGAAGCTGACCAGACATTAACAGATACCATAAAAGTATTGAAGTTTGATTGATACCCAGCCCTTGGAGCCAGTGGAGAGAAGGAATCTTGTAATGTGTATTTGAGAACTACATACTTTGGTATACTTTTTGTATATATTTTGTATATATTTTGTATATATTGAAAAACTATATAAAATGTTTTTTTGCTTCATTATTTGAGGAAGGAGATACCTTGAAACATCTTTTGTACCATGATTTGAGAAAAGGCATATATACTGTCTATCAATAGTAGTTTGGATAATCAACACCTTGGTGCTGGCTGGAAGCATGTTGTTGGATTTCTACTGCGGTTCTGTATTTCTGCGTGAATAGAGAATAGATAGTGAATAGATAAATGAAGAATTATGTTTTCTTCCTCTTAAGCTGAACAAAGCAATTCTCTATTTAACAGAGCAGGGTACCGTTCTGTATGAGCTCCTCCAGGTTGTCCGGGTTGCGAGCCAGTTGGAAGATGAGCGTGGCTCCTCTGATCTTCTCCTGGATGTCCTCATACAGCAGCTCCACATACTCATCGATGCTGTTGATGCTCGCCACCTCGTCCAGCTGAAGGGAAATAAAAGAGTTCAGCCTCAGGACTGCGAAATATCCTCAGAAATGCATACACACACACACACACACACACACACACACACACACACAGTCCTGTATACTGTACAGTTCAGTTCCTACCTCCACTCCTGCGTAAGGTGTGGAGTCTTGAGGTGAGATGCGTTTCTTCTCTTGGATGTCTGTGAAAGGAAATATTTAGCATCACAAAAAGGCCTCTTGTGACTTTTACTCTGAGGAATACTAACCCTAACTATGTTAGTTAGTTAGTTAGCCATGATGAAACTCCTCAATACCATTTGATTGTTTGCGGTTTTGCAAATAGAAGAGCAGCTGCTCCACCTCGTGGAGCTTGGACGAGGGAATCAGACGACATTCCTCCACAACCTTCTGGGCCAAAGAGGACGTATCTGTGTGGGCGTTCAGGCTTTTCAGGCGAATACTGAAGGACAAACATATAGACACTTGAAATTACAGCTTTTGAGAGAAACATTGAGCACCTGGTTCTCAGATGCAAGGTACAAAATAAAATCAGGATACAGAAACCGATTGATATTGTTGGACACGAGAACATAATTTATCTGAAGAAAGGTATGTTTCTTACGGTGTAACTGTCATCTTACAAATCACTGTAACTAAGTTGTACGCAGTTAAAAAGAAACTCAGTAAGATTTAATCCTGAATTAGCTGACAGTGTTTATTTCTCACATTTTCTGACACTCTTTGCGTTCTCCAACCATAGGGTTCCCCAGCTCTCCCAAGACAGTGGCCTCCACCTCATACTGAACCACGAGGGCTCTCTCAGTGGGGTGGACCTCAAGAGTACATCCCTTCACTCTCCTGTGGGTCATACAGAGACAAAGTAAGCATTGGCTGAAGATAAAACATATAATCCAACAGTGAATAGCACAGTAGTAGTACAGTAAGATGTACTAAATGCTCATTCTGGGTGGATTCACTTCAATTTGCCTAGTTGAGATACAGTGCTTTCAAATCAGCCACAACTGTGATTCTTTTCATTGTGTTGGAGTCAAGATTCAGAAGAGCTCACCAGATGAGGTCAGAATGTATTATGATTTTTAAAAACAGGTACCAAAAAAAGTTTCATGCAAGGAAATTGAACGATGTTTGAATGCATTTAATATGTTGATGTATGTACTGTTTGTGTAATGTGTAAAACCTATGAACCTATAAATCAATGTTGTTTTCATTGATTAAAGTACATCACGGTCCATGACGTCACATTACCGTTACACACGCAAGACAGACATATGGTCAGCTAATACTATGCTAACGGTACTACTGTTGGATACTTTAAGCTGGTCGTACCAACACAAAAATACATATTCATGAATATTTGAAACGGAGTAGTCGCTCATTTAAACAGCTTGTTGTTCTTTCGATGAAGCAGCGGAGCATCCCGCTGCTTCATCGACCTGCTCGCTAAAGGTTTCACTACACACGGAAACAAGCCGGCGTTAGCAGCGGTTACCTTTTCAGATACCGCGGACCTCCTGCTGGCAAACTGTCCATTTTAGATTCAAATGAAAGTCCACATTAAAACTGTCTGCGTCTCAAACGGGGCCAGCTGATGCTGATGAAGACAGGGCGGATGTTTTTTTTGGTTTTTTTTGCAGCTTGTTGCCAGGGCGGCGACTCATCCAGCTCCCAGCATGCAATGTTGTTATCTGCAGCAATCTGCCACTGCTGCCACCTGTAGTCACGGAGGACGAGCTTAATGGAAACCAGCAGCACAGGGAGGCCAAGCTTTGCATCATGTGTATTAACGTTAAGTTCATTCAAGTACAAGTACTGAAAAAACAGAACTTGTCTTTATCTGAGTCTTTTCTTTTCATACCACTTCTACTGTAAAAGTTAGGTATCTCACCTCGGTATATATTGTACATTTATCTTACAGCTTTATTACCGTTAGTCAATTCACAAATTAATTTTGGTAACGTTACACAAAACATATGAGAGGTTTTAAAATATGTTTTGCTATTAATTAAATTAAAGAGAGCGTTACCCAACAGTTTTAGTAACGATACACGTTAATTTATCAGCAGCCATGCCATTGCAGGGTTAACACAGGTGTAATTTATAACATTAATTTAGCCCCTGTTCCATGTAGATGGGGCATGGCCCTGCATTGTGTATGCTGCCTCACTGAAATGGCTGTGACACTCTAAATAGAATGGGGCCCTAATTAACTTCATCAATTAGCTACACCTGTGTTAAACTTTACCCTGCTATGACATGTCAAAATCGCTGCTGTGAAAAGGGCCCATTAGTCAATTGACGGAAACATAATTAAAACACATTTCATGGCTCCAGCTTGTTAAATCTGAAGATGTGCTGCTTTCCTTTGTAATATTTCTAATGTAATAATGTTGAGGTTTGGACTGTTGGTTGTACAAAACAAACATTGTAAAGGTGTCACTTCTTTGGGCTCTGGGTAATTGTCACAGCATTTCTCACTATTTTCACAAACCAAACAATTGATTAATGGAAAAAACAATCAGCAGATTAATCCATAATACAAATAATCCTTAGTTAATAGTCCAAACTGAGCTCCACCTCAACCAACTACAGCAAAATCCTGCTTTTACAATAATTCATGAGTAGCCAAATAATTAGGAACAGTCACAGGGGACATTGTTCTACTTTTTCTACTTTCAGTAAAGTTTCCTGATTCTACTTTAGTCAAGTAACATATTTAATGCAGGACTTTTACTTGTAACAGTGTATTTTTACTGTGTAGTATTATTAGTTTGACTTAAGTAAAGGATCTGAATGCTTCCTCCATCTCTACCTGCTCTGAAGCTGAACAGTTGCAGCAGGGTTGTAACTTGGACTTAAGAGGCCATTTCATGAAAATCCATCCAATAGTCATTGTTTTATTTCACTCAAAACCACACATGTGATCCTCATGGTGGCACTAGAAGAAAAGTTGGAGGATCACTTAAGTCATTTGGACACATCATCTGGGAACCATAAATGTATGTACAAAACTTTGAGCCAATCCATCTAGTAGATGTGCAAAGATGGCAATATGCAGCTCTAACAGAGATAGAGGGATAATGAAATGTTCAGAACCAGATGGTCAAATTATGAAACACTTTCTAAAATAAATAAAAATAGTTAATATGCAACTAATAAGTATAAAAAAAACATTTTCTGTTAAAGGACTGTATCTGCGGATGAGATGGATGGTCTGCCTGCAGGCTGCGGTAATAGAAGCCGCCAAGGTGAGTCAGCTTAACGTTACATAACTTCAAACATGACCTTAAAAAGGATCTGTCAATTTCGAATGTGTTTCACTGCTTATTACCAATCCTTCAGTCCAACAAGTAGATTCTCTTCAAATTTCAGTTTTCTCAGACTGCTTTTTCATTACATAAGGTTTCACATCAACCACAGTGTTTTCTAATATACTCTATTGTTAAATGAACTCTTGAATGAAGACGAAGGCAGATCACTGCACCACATTCAAGAGAAATATGACTTGATTATAGAAAATCCATTAAACAAGTTTATTTGTTATGCACTTGTAGATTTGTTTAATTGTTTCAATGAAATTATACTTTTGAGATCTCTTAATAGGCCATGTATGTTGCCATGTATCTAGTTACAAGTGAGGATATAAACAAATGGCAAGTAGGTGTAATCAATACTGTAACATAATAAATCTGCTCTCCTCAATGTATTCGCTTGTCTCAGCACCAGTGACAGCTGATGTCACTGCACTAAGTTTAGTCCGTGGCTCGTGATGGATATATTAGAATATCATTTGTGTTAGGGGTCAAAAATATACGGTATTTGTATTTCCTGGTGACTGACTGATTTATAGGGGTACAAGGGCAGATAGAGGTTGTTTATTAGTGTTTGACAGTATGAGATCGGCATGCAGTTCTTGAGATGCCTTATCCCACACATCAAAACAGACAACTGCAGCCATTGAGGTTTAAACATGCTGTCTGCAAAGCTCTCCATTTATATGATAAGTCAAGAATGGGCACTACAAACAGCTACTTAAACCCCTGAACTGCTGTAACTCATCCTGAGGTCAGATTTCAAGGTGTCAACCCAAAAGAGGTCAATAAGAGTGGCACATATAGAGGGTGAGACTCAGAAGTGTGGAGACCGGGTTAAATCACATGTTCAGTTTGGTCTATGTACTAAGAGAATAAGATGACTTGGAGCATATATTGTACTCTTTGTTCTCTGGTGTCTGTGGAGTTGTGTATACAAACATGAGAAGACATTGCTAATTTGAAGACATTATATGTCATCTCTGCCTTGAGGTCAGACGTATAGACTCGTGTGCAGCTGAAAGTCAGTCGCCTCTGTGTCTTCCAGAGACAGCCCCCTCCCTCAAAGTCAGTGTCCCTAGCAGGTGATCTGTAAATCTGGCAGGGGTCCTGAGCACTGCCCCCTGAAAAAGATCTCTGCCGATCACTTGAACGCTGGTTGAGACATGTTGAACACTAGCTAGACAGATATAGCAGCAGCTGGAGTAACAGCAGCGTAAAAAACCAACAGTGTTACTCTCCTCCACCATCGCTCGGTCAAACACCTTCCCACCGCTCTGTGGGGTGCACATACAGCCAAAATGGAGATTTCACTTCAAGATACGACTGGCAGCTCATTGCCCAACTTAGCATACAAGGGCGCTCACCAGGCGTTCTCGGATCGCTGGAAAGAGACGGATGCCACCATGTGTCGCCACAGCATGTCCTTCCACCTGCACCACGCGATGAGGAGTGAGTTCTTTGCCAGCTACCTGTACCTGCTGGAGAAAACTCCTGTGGGTAAGAAGAAGGACCACACAAAGATCCAACCACACATAGTTAGGAGGTCAAGATTTACAACCTTTACTTGACCCATGACTCCATTAAGTATTGGGCAAAGCTGAAGAAGCATGCGGGAGGTTTTGCATGTTTTGGTTGAGTACAAATAACGTCATATTTTTTTTTCCAAAGTATACCATATGCAGTAAAGATAATTCATTTCCAATGGGTTTTCATTAGTTTCCATTCATGAAAAATAACTTGGCAAAATTAGCTTAGTTAAAGTCACATATTCATCACAAGGTAATGCATTTCAAATTGCCCATTGATTGGAAGACTGTGTACTGCATTACCAATAATAA